ACCACCTGTCTTCCAGAGATGTGGTGCAAGGGGCCACATGGATATGAAAGAAAACAATCCACATTGTAATTAACCTTACAAAAGCCAAAATGAGAAATCTTATGTTTAAGAAGAGTGTGCCTGTTATGGCTCCATAGCCATGACCAATTCCAGCAAAATCTCAGATGGTCAGCAAAACAGGGGAAGGAGCAACTTATCCAGTACCTGGCATTTTCATCTCTGAGCTATGCTGTCTCTGGTGTAAATTGGGTTTTACATACTTTTATTTTTCTAGCTCAATGAAATTCCTGTATACATACAAAATGGGAAAAAAAATGTTCTAATGCCCAGAGCCCTGTTCTTGTTTGATATGTCCATTTGGTGTGGACCCTTTCACTCTCAGCACTGAGATGCTAAGGTGCCTTTTGAGTTTGTGTCTCATTAGTGAACCAAAACAATGGATGATCTGGATGATATTTTGTAAGCCCTGATTCACTGGCGTCTTCCATGGCTTTTCTGTGACTCTTTTCATGATTTGTAATAATGCCAGCTATGCTTAGCAGATTTCCATTAATTAGTTGCAGACAGCAAGTAACCATTTAGCATTAAATCTCCTTTGTCTGAGTACATTTCCTCATCTGTATCCTCCCAACTGCCATAACACACATTACTCCTCCACCAGGAAAGCAGTGTATATGCATTATATTAACACTGCTAAAATCCCAGTCAAATCAAGCACAGATCCAGCAAGAAGAGCATCTCCTTCAGTTTTTTCAAGTACGAGTACTATCCTAACCTTTTGAAATCAGATTTCTATTTGAAAAAATGTTGATTCTTTTTTTCACCATCACAAATATTTGAAAAAGCTTGAATGCCAGGGAAAAGACAGAATTAGCAAGCCATTCTTCCAGCACACAAAGTCAGACATTTACACTGACATTTTATTATATCAACTTGGCTTTTATAAAGCTTTTCAAGGGAGTTACTACATGAAAGAAGCTCTACAAATAGACAGATGTTTTTTTATCGCTATAAGCTGTTGTTGTATGGAAAACTACACATTTGATGATGGACTTGGAGGTTTTATGTAAGTCCTTGAAGCTTGGTGTAAGACAACGCTGTCCGTCACATGTGCAAACACAAATTCTTTCCTGCTGTCACATGCTTTGTCTCTGCAGGCGTAAGCTGTTTATTTCCTGTAATCTCCTGTGCTGCAGAAATTAATTTCTGTACTCTCTTTGTACCCAATAGTGTGTGTTATTGTTCTCCTTCTCAAGGGGCTGTAATATAGCAGCAACACTGGCACTGTTAAAAAAAATAGAAGTGGACTTTGTTTCAAAGCTATTCAAACCAGTAGCTTGGAGTTAATAGGGCTATCTTCAAGCACTGTGGGTGGAGTTAAATATGTGCTCCTTACAGGAAAATCAAGTGGGTTTGGCGTAGGTGTGAGTACACTGGTTCAGATAAACAAGAGCTGATCATCATCTTATAGAGTAAAAGATTTTAGATTTTTAAAAATTCATTTATTTTTTAAATTATGTTTCACTCTTTCCTTGTTTCGTGCTATCCCCTAGCTCACCAATATAATAGCTGTGTGGTTGGTGAAAACTAGGTAAATGGGCTAATACCCACAATTTTCTTTCCCCTCCTTTCTTCTCAGAGAGAAATGACAAGGTGGTCTACAGTAGTCCTCCCCACTATGGGTCATCACACTCTCATAGCAGGGTGCTGTTTGCTGCTGTTCCTGCTTGGTGTTTATATCTTTTGCTTCAGAAAAGAGAGCAAGGGCTTGGACACTGCTCTGTTGCCTGAAGATGGGCATGTTTCCCCCATACACGGAGATAGGTGTTGGCTCTGTTTCTCAAATAAATTCAGCTGATTGGCTTGTGGCTGTGTGTCTGGGATTCCAAGAGCTGTGAAGGTGCCAAAGGAGCCTTGCTGCAGCTTTGTGGCTGGGACATTCATATGGGAAGGAGGATGTAGGGTCCTGAGGCCTTCCCTCACCCAGATGCTCTTCTTCTGCTCTGTTCCCAGGAAAGCAAGCAGGCAAGCACCATGTCAGGCTCCTTTTCACTTGCTGTCTTTTTGATCCCTTATTTCTAGTATGGATGGTTGTGCATGGTCCTGCTTTATAGCAGCGAATGGGGAATATCCCAATCTTTCATGCTCTGGAGCCTGACGATGGGGATGAATTTGGTGACAGAAATGTGGGCTGAAACTGTCTGAGGTTGCAGACAGCCCTAAATACAGTTCTTCCTAATCAAGGGTCGTCACAACTTGCCTCTCATTATAGATGCTTTGATTGACTGCTGTGTCAGTGGTGCCTGATCTGCTCTATGAGGTCCCCATCTTAGAAGAGAGCTAGCAAGGCTGCTGGCACCCAGTACCCACTGGGTTGCTGAGTCAGACGTCCCAGTGCTAAGCTGCACTTTAAACACAAAAACTCTTTTCTTTTTTTTTCCTTTTTTTATTTCACAGCCACTTCAAGAAATGTTTATGTGCAGTTTTTCAAGAAGAATTTAGTATGAAACAGCCCCAGTCAGGCAGGTATAATGAAAAGATGCTATACCCAGCAATTTACAGCTAAATAAAAACACCCAAGGAGCCCTGTGCATTCATTTTATATTCATGCAAAGATCTGAAATTAAACTAAGGTTGAAGTAACAGCGATGAATGCTTTTTCTGCTTTCTGCAGAGCTCTTTCAGAATAAGGTAATTTATTTAAAACTATAGTGTGATTTAACTTGCCAGACCTTTCTCAGGACCTAAATAAAACTGTAGTGATTATAATTTCTCATCTGTCTAACAGAGGTAACCACCAATTACACTGGTCTGGCCTGTCCCTCCCAGCACAGGAAGAAATACATGTAGGATATATCACTCACTCACTCACAGAGAAAGCATAACTTGGAATATCCAGACAACTATTTCTGTGATGATCATTACGCTGTGCTTCCCTGTTTTCTGCTAAATCATCATATATGTTACTTTTTTTCATTTGGATGCACAGCTTTCCTTGTTCGTTGGGAATTGCTGTTACATGCAACCTGTGAATCCCTGTCCACACAAGTACCTTTGTTTGTTTGTGTCTCATGGTTCTTATGTCTCATGTATGTGTCCCCATTTCTCCTAGGCTTAAGACCTTCTCCCTCTGTGCACTGGAACTTGCTCACTGTTTGAAGCAACCTCTTTCCCTTTCCTAATTTAATGACTCCTGCTTAACACCAGTCAGGGCCCAGCCAGGTTCCTTGCACTTGCTGTGTTCCAAAGAAACAGAGAGCAAAGAGGTGACAGAAGGGGAATGGAAAAATCTGCATTCCAGTAGGACCTGAGGGCTGTGCTAGGTACAAAGCATAAGATTCATGGCTACATTTCCTTTGCTCTTTGTAAAACATAGTTTTCTATTTTCAGAACAATTCTAAAAAGTCAAAGGGACATTTTAAAGTGCAGTACATGGTTTCTCAGGTTGGAGGCACAGTTAAGAAAAACACAATATCTGTGCTATTGTGCTGCATGCAAATTAAGCATTACTGTAGTGTGTCAGAATTCCTCTGAAGGTATACATTTGGTCTAAGAGTGAAAAATTTGTGAAAACAGCACTGAAGAAACTGCGTATCACTATGGGGATGGCTTTTGAAATTTTTGTGGCATGTTCAGACGAAGTTTAACATCTTTTTGTGTGGTAAGAACTTAGAAGCAGAAGTTTAGAGAAACATTAGTATGTTTATGCTCTGCTTATTAAAGGTACATGTATCCCTTTGCTACAAAGGTGAATTGTATGTCTAGGTTGAAAGCAAAACTGATCCTTAAACATGCTGATAAATTTATACATCATCTTACAGAAAAGTAGAATGGAAACTGTATTAGTTCAGTCAGTACAACTATCGCTGCCTCATGCCAAAGCAGTAATGGTAAAACTGAATTGATTGATGATGACTTGATCAAGGAAATCAAAATATCTCAGGAAATCAGCAAGCATCAGGAAAGCTGCAGAAAGCATTTTGGAAAGCTAAGCTGCTTCTGTACTGGCAACTGCCCCAGGCCACGTCCTGCAGGCATAGCTCATCCTTCCTGATCCCCCTTCCATAGGTATGGGATATAAAGGGGCCACTGGCATGCTCAGAGGAGATGCTCAGATGAGCTGTTGAAGTAGCCAGATGCAAAAGGATTGTTAGTGGATCTACTGCAGGCTCATGTCCTCCAGATCTGGGCCACAAGCAGCTCCACAGGTCACTTGCTAGTTTGTGCTTTCTTATTCTCTTCATAGAGGATGACAAAGATTAGTCTTAGTCTTTGAACTGAGTCTGCCCATACTTCACATGTTGCATGTTTTTCACCTGCTCTACAGAGAGATCTTAAGGCTTAAATGTCTGACCCTTCTCCTTCTCAAGGGTTGGAGGTGAGTTCTGCTCCTCAAGGGCTCATGGTGCAAGGCTGCAGTGCCAGTAGAGCCTTACTCCTTGCACTGTAGCAGGCTGATTTTCTCAGCAAGTGGTCATTACCACTTTGCTTTTGCTACAGGCAGCCTCAGTTGTATTCACCTCTGTAGTGTCAGCATGCAGCCCACCTGTAGTCCAGCAGGTGCATTCAATCTGAGAACTATCACTGGACATGGACAGGGAGCCAGTGGAAAACTGGACTCCTCTGAGTGTTGTTTCCAATTTTAATGGCTCAAGAAGACATCTTGAGACTCCAGGCTGCTTTGGGGATGAAAGTGAGCTACAGGTTTGCATGGGCACTAACATTATAAAAGAGGATGTTATGGGTAGTGATGGATCTCTGAAAAGAAAAAGGTGCTGCTGGCCACAGACTTGATGTCTGTATGGTAATTGTTGAGTCATGGCCTGAAACACTGATTAAGCACCTGGGGAAAGGACCCAGTTAGCCCTAGGAACACAGGTGAAGGCAATTCACCCATTTGACCAGAAGGGGTAGAGTCTGATTGCATCTTTCTTAGACCTCATTTAAGGGCTGACTGCCACTGTGGAAGGATATTTAGTTAGAGATCCCTCTTTTGTGGGGTTTTCTCTGTGAGCCTAGATCTTCAGAGATGGGTAAGCCCTTTTCTTTTGTATCATCTTTCTACTGTGCTAGTCCCTTTGTCATTACTTTTCCTGTGTCTCTGTTCTGCCACGTTGATCTTTCTGACTGTTGCAAGTACATGCAGGTAAAGCTGCGCAGCCTCATGGTATGCATGTTGGTAGCCTATGGCAGATGGTGGGCATAGGCTCTTTAGCATACTGGTCATGCAGACAGCGTGATATGGTTTTGCTTCTAAAACTGTATTCCCTAATGTCTGAGGTGCCTGAAGGCACCTTAAGAGTTAAAAAAAAAAAAAAAAAAAAGTGCTGGCATGGAGCAATGCCTTCATGGATACTGTGACAGTGGAGCTGCAGCCAAAATTGTTGAGAAGTACTTCTCAGGACCAGGCTGCTATTGACTTACCAGTTTTGCTAAATAGAAGTTTTTAAAACCTGTAGTTTCAACATAGAGATGAATCATGGGATTCTGTTTCTGAGAATCCAGGATCAAGAAGGAAAACTGTGTTTACTGCATGAACTAGGAACAATCTGACAATCACACAGCAGGAAGATATAGTTCTGGTCAAAGCTGTTTGAAAACAGAAATACAAAGCCTGTATATCTCAATATTGCATAATAGATTTCTGCATTTAAGATATTTGTTCTGATCTTTGGCTTGAAGAAATTACCATGTGAACTTTTACTTCTAGTTATCGCCTGACTTATGTATTTCTTTTGATGCACAAATTGCACCAGTGAGAACAGAAGATGTAGACTATGGAAGCCTGAGATTTTTATATCCAAAATAACCTTATATTTTGAGTGGCAGTTTGGTAGATGGACTGTTGCCAAAGCAGGGCGAGAAAAAACCTGTCTGACCTGGGCATACTTGAAGAAAAGAGCAGGTGTCTACATTCATTTCTAGTAGATTCATAGGTGTGTATTTGATACCTATATTTGACAATGCAAGTGGTTCTTGAAAGGTCAAATATTCCAAATTATTCCAGTGTAATTACTCCAAACTCTATAACTGTTTCCTTCCCTCATTTGGACACTCTTCTCCTTCTCCCTGTTTATTCTCCTGTCCAGGCACCCTGTCTTCCTACTCTTAACTCCAAATACTTCTTCCACCAAGTCCAGGAGAATGAAATGCTTGTGTGCTGCAGTTGCATTGTTAGAGTGGTGAGCAAGGTAGGCTTCCATTGTCCTCAGTTGGCAGCAATGCTTACTGCCACCAGAGTCATGGAGCCATACCTTTGCATCATTCAGATTCTCCAGAGGCGACTGAGGGTAGGGCACACAGCACTGCTGCCAGCTTTCTTCTGTCTCACTCTTGTTCTAGGAGCTCCACAGTAAGCTATATGTTTGGTGCAAATAGAAAGAATGGAGCCTTCTGAACCCTTAAAGGAAGCTGGCAGAGAGATCGAGAAGTGCAGATGTGGTTGCATTCAAACTTCCCTGTAAACAAGTGATCTTGGAGAGGTAAAAATTTCCACAGTTTTATGTACAAGCCTGGAGGCAGTGGAAATCCCCAGTCCATCCTGGTGGGGACATTAAAGGATTGCAAGAAGCTACACAAAGATCATTCAGAATTTTTCCAGAAAATCTGGCTCAAACTGTTATTTGGCAATTTAGTTTTTTCATAAGGAACCAGCTGCCAACTGAGAAACTGTTGGCTTCCGTGTTACATGCATTACATTTACAAAGCTATTTTATAAGGTGGCAGGCCAAAATACAGTTTGCAAATATTGTTGGCATCTTTAGAGCTTTTTCAACTATCTGTATCTGTAGGATGTCCTGTAGAACGAGATACATTTTGGATGTACCAATGAATTTTTAACACATCTTCAGCTCTGGAGATGAAGCAGAGGTAGGATCAGCTTAACAGTTACCAGAAAGCAAGTCAGTCATGACAGTAAGACTTGGCAATAACTTAATAACTGTTTAAACAATTTGAACATAGTAAATGTGGTTATGAATGCTCTTCTGAATCCAGCTATATATTTGGGTGCTTTTCTTCAAAAGCAAAGTGGCAATGCAGACTGTATTATAATTCTAACTAAAATGCGTTTCCAACTTAAAATGCAGGTTCCGACTCACTGGGAAATATTCATTCTGTCCAGCACTTTCTGGCTCTTTCCAGGGCTCATCTGCTGAAAAAAATGGTGCAGTCATGTCCCACTGTGACGGAGAGCAGAGGTGCCAGCTCAGAGGAAGGTGGCAAAAAGATGAGGGTGAGAGGGCTGTGGAGAGAGGGAATGATGGCTCTACTTCTCTGCTGGCGAAGAATGCTGCAGAGGATGTGGGAGCAGCCCTCAAACACCACAAATACTGCAGCTGCTCCAGGGTGCAGAGCTTGGAGCTAAATGTTTGCAGGGATCTGAGCCAGAACTCAGGTACTGAACCACGAATGCTGTGCTGTCCTGATTACCCACTTCTGACTCATCTCACTGTCTGCAAGAGTCAGACATATCCATGCAGGCTGCAATCACTGCTGGTGATTATGGCTATCCCCATAGATGCCTTAGGAGCCTACACTACATCTGAACCTACCCCAGCATTTCTGTGGGCCACTGTGGGTACTGGAGAAAAATCTCATCTGTCATACACAGTCTAGTGTTACCTGCAACAAACCCCTTCACTCCTCCCTTTTTGCAGCAGTTTGTTCTGCAGGGCGTTTCAGGGAGTCAGTTTCATTGCTCCCTCCCATAGCACTTGCAGCCACACGTGCAGCCCCTGTGGGCTGGGAGCTAAAAAAGTTCACCCGTGTGATGCAGGCGGTCATGAGCCAGACAGGGTTTAATTTACTGATGTAGATACAGCCTAAACAGCTACAGCTTTTCTGGTCGCTTCTGCACCACTTGTGCTGCTTCTGTAGCATTCATGCAAGTTTTCCAAGTGTGAAGTGTGCATTAAATAAACGAACTAGGGTGCAAAAGAATGACATCTGCTCTGAGACTGTTAGAGAGGCTCTTTTACAAGCAAATGAACCACCAATTTGTAGTAAGACATTGTTTTCTAAACACAGAATAAAAACTGTTATCTTGCTTGGCTGGTCATTAGAAGAGAGATAATTATAGTCTCAGTGTGACAATCGGCTCCAAACAGTGGTTGCATTGTTCCAGTCCCCAGCTGAATCCCAGCACAGGCACCCAAGGCCAGCAGCACTGGGAACAACAGGGCTCCTTGTGCATGAGCGAGTTCAAAAAAGTGACTGAAGTGCTTAAGAAGGTGCTAAGCACTTATCTCTCCCTATGACTGGCCTTAAAGACCATTATTTAAAGGTGGGCAAGATGAAAAAGACAACCTTAAACTTTAGTTCTGCATTGATTTCTGTTTTGTTCTGTATTTCTACTTTCTAATGCAAATCAATGAGCCCTGTATGATGGGACAGGCTTTCAGAAAGAAGGGAATGCTCAATGATCAGTGTTCAGTTTCCTAATTCTTGAATGGTGGACCCAGAGCTTCAAGAGGCCACAACGTCTCTCAAGGCTTTCAGGAAACTCTGGGCCACTTGCCCACATAACACCTTACTTCTATGGGACAACCTGAGCCTCACTGATCTGGCACCTGCCCATCTTTCTGTATAGAGATTTCATGAGTGTATGCTAGAGCATTTTCTCTGTATTTAGCCTCAAGGCACTGGAGGAGGAGTACAACCATAGCTGTTGGGTTAGCGTGTTGAGCTACTGGGCACTATTTTCTTTCTAGAGCTGTTTTTGAAGCTCTGAGGTGAAAAGGAAAAATATAAAAATTTTCCAACGGACCACTTGCAATCAAGACTTTGCCACTGCTATATAAAATATAAAAGTTTATACGTATCGTTTATACATAAAGTTTATTTTTTATAGTGTTTTCTAAAAAGCAATGGCCAGAAACAATAATTCAGTTATTTCACCTTAAGTAATTAGTTTTTCCCATCATCTGTGCTTGTGCTGTCTCAACCAGTCCTCTTTTAGAAGTACTCATTTTAATCAAGTTTGACCCAAGGGAACATAAAAATTAATTTCCTACTACTTTTGTGAAAGTAAGTAGCTGGGTGAAGGAGTGAATCCCTTATTAGTACTCCTACTAAAGGAAAGATTTCACTAGGATCCTGTTATTAGGCATTAGAGAACCAACATCTAGACTCTTTCTTGGATCCCATGTATGAGGAAACCTGGCGGTGTTGCTTATAAAACCACTTGGTTCAACAAGCAGTAGCAAGACTGCTGCAAGGACACTGCCAGGGAAGAAACTGTCTTACAGAAAATAGTGAGTGTGTAGAGAACTTCCTGCCTCAGGCAGAGGCACAATGCAATATTCAATTCCATCGGTAAGACAGTTTTATTAAATATTTTGTTTATCTTGAATAACAGAAACACAGGAAGTCTTTTTTTGTCAGCCCAGCAACTTAAAACACTTGAAAAATATGGAAGCACAGTAAGTTGGTCTACAGCAAGATACCGATTCAATATTCAGAAAGTAATGTGCATGTGCAATGCAGTTACTTTTCCTTGAGCTCTGTTTGTGTTTCCTAAAGAGATCAGCCTTACAGTCATCACTTTAATTCAGGTGATGATCTGACTAAAGACTGAAGGACGTGGTACTACAGATACAGAAAAAGATAGCCAGCCTTTGTCCATAATAAAATGCAAGGTGTTTTTAACTTTAGCAATCATTCAGCAAAACACATCATAAACATACATAGCTGATCTCAAATAGATTTTGTAAGTCATCTAAACTGAACTAAATTTTTCTTTGCATTTTTTTTTCTTTTCTTGTTTTTGGTCTTCTGTTTAAATTCTGGAGATGTATGATAACAGGGATCTGCCTCTTCAACCTGTAGCTCCTGTTTTGCTCTGAATATAGCATAGTTCACGTAAACTCTAGGAACAAAATGTTGAGTAGGGATGAAAGTTTGCTTGGGGCATCTGGTTCATGTTTGTACTAGTCTGACAGAAATCACATTTTGAAGAGACTTATCAGGACTCTAATCTCTGTAGAGAGCTGAATGTCTACGGCAGGCTTGACAGTGCTATTCATTTTTGGATCCACAGAAGCAAAATAAGCACTCTGCACAAAAGGATACATAAAGTCTAGGCTACTGTACTGCTTATATGTCTGAATCTATCCAACTAACAAGGGAATTCACACTGTATAAGTACACAACACTGGAATAACATAGTTTTCCACTTGGTGTCTTGGAGATCAGTGTCACCAGAGACTTGTAGTGCTAATTAATACTACACACACCTTCCTATTGATCAAAGAGGCAAAGAAGAAGTCTTGAAATCAAAGCCACTTTAAACATAAGGAACAGGTCACATTGCCTATTGCACGCTATTTGAGCAACAGCCATATATGTGCCTATTGGTGTGTGACTAATATATACTATGCTTTATGAAGCAGTTAAGCCCTTGCTATTCAGGCAGTGAGTATATGTGTCCACTTTAACAGCAGGGGTTTAATGCTTTTATAAATGCTTAATGAAATAAAGTACAGTTTCATTTTACATCTTCATCTTCCTGGGTCTTTGATCTTATGCACGCAGCTGGAAGGTTAAACAAAAAATTATATCCCTACAGTTTCTTAGCAGTGAAAATATTTAATTATCATCAAGACACACACACACAAAAACCCAATTCCCTCTGTTCCCAGAAAACAAATATAGCAGAGAAATGACATCAGAATTACCTTGTTAGAGGTGTGCAACTTTTTATTCCTTTTCTCCACACAGTATGAAAGTGCTTTTTTTTCCCAGTTTTTCTGTACCACAAACTCCAGCCAACATTATTCTAAAGAATCAGAGGCAGGCGGCGAAGGGAGGCCTGGACACCTTTCCTCTTTCAAAGAGGAGCTAATCAAACATTCCCATCGAGCTCCCAGCTCTGTGAAAGGCACGTTGCCCTCCCTCTCTCCTCCCTCTGCTCCTCTCTCCCTCTGTCTCTCCCTCTCCCTCCCGCACACACAGACCTACAGAGCTCCTTACAGTGATTTAGCAGCTGAATTAGGCGGTCCTATTTTAAATATATGTTCCCTCCCACGTTTTTGGTAGGGATTTCTATGCTCCTTTTGCATCAGCCTGTCAGATGTGTCAGGTTTTTCTCTTTTGGAAAGAGAAGCTTTATTTGCCTGATGTTCTGGTTCAACTTTTTTTTGTTTCCCCATGCAGTTCAGCACTGTATTAAGACTGTATCTAGTAGCCTGGAGTAAATTCAACAGCTCTAGAGATCATTAAGTACCAGATTGCTTAGGTGAGAGTCAGATTTAAAGAGATAAATAGCTTCTGAAGAGACAGACTGTGATGCCTTTACTCATGTTTATAGCTTCTTATTCCATAAACAGCTACCCTGGAGTTGGAGGATTACTAACAACAGCAAATCTGTGAGTCTGACCACAGAGAAGCAGAAGTATGAAATAAGCATTAGCATGGACTCTTTTCTGGTCTGACTGGATGCAGAAGTTTAACAAAAAGTTGTCAGAGATAGAAATCTCTAGACCAGCACTCATTTAGTATGGCCTGGCCAAATGAGAAGATGCACAAGTGACTATTTTTCTTAAGTATCTGTACACATAACTCCTAAATTTCTGAGGTGACTTTAAGAGAAAAATTTTATTGAGACTTTCAAGATCACAGCATTCACAGTGTTACCATAGAAAGCAGTATCTTACCCTAGGATGCTGGAATGCAAAGTGTAATTTGCAATTCCAGCTAAGTATTCAGATATTTGTAGGTAACCCATATGAGTGAACATAAACAGTTTTATCTAGGATCATTATTAGTGAAAATTTATGTACAAAAATCTAGAATAAATATAGGAGATGGAGCTCAAAAGACACATTGAAGAGATATGTAGTTTTTGGCTACTTCTGATGTAACGGTTCTGTAATTTGTTTGGTGATTTGGCTTCAGTGAAAGTGATTAACATTTGTTTGTGATTCTTCTGTCCAGTACTTATGGAAACTGTAAGATAGCTCTGCATACCAATGAACAGTACAGCAACAGAGGTTTATCTAGAAGTTCCAACTGTTTTCCTAACTTATAATCATGCATAATCATTTGATTCTTTCAATTATGCTCTCAAAATAGAAATCTAGGCTTGCTATAGTAATTCTTTGTGAGGCAGAAAAAGGTACACAGACAAAAAAACTTGTCCTGATAGCAAATTGACTAACACAAAAAAACAACACTCAAAGTCTTGCTAATTCAAGTTAGGACTGTCAGAATATAATCATCAGCTTTTTCATTATGTGTTGTGAAATTCATTTATTCAAATAATGCTAGGCAACACGATTGAGACCTCAGGAATTTTAGAGGTCCTGAAGGCCAGATATCCAAATACTGGAGTTTTACAGCTAAGTGGCTGTGCTATTTTCCAGCACTTCTGGATGAAGTGATAATCTCTTACCTGCAGATGTTGCTAGAAATACTCTCAAGTGTTTGTACACATACCTTCACTGGTATTTAGCCACTTATTTTCCACTTAAGAAGACTATTTTCAGAAATCCACAAGCATGGATACCCTATATAGCTCCATAGTAGTAGATCAGTAGTTATCTAAGAAGTTTCTTGAAGTCAAATCAATTACATTCTAAATTGACTTTGAAACAGAGCCGTACATCAAGGAATGAGAACCAAAGAAATACGGTGATGAGAATGCTGATGAGCAAGGCCCTGACAAACCAAGACTTAGGCAGAAAAAGGCTCAGGTTGTGCTGGCAGCGCACAGAAATAGTCAAACTGGTGCTGTACTATGGATGAAAAGAAATGGATGAGTGGGATGTACATGCAAAAAGCTCTCCTGAGGTTCTTTTTCTGGAACTCATATTAGCTTGTTCAGGGCTGTGGACATAGGCAAACTGAACGTGATTGATAAGGTGTTAAAGCAACAGTTACTGTGTCTACGCGGTAGGTCATGTTCCATCTCTGCTGCTATTGGGGGGTTGTAGTTTTACAAGGGAAATAGCTGATCCATTTTTTTATTTTCCATGGTTGGATTACCTAATTTATGGATAAATGGTACCCAGTGCAAAATGCTGGATTGAACCTGGCAGGATGTAGCTCAAATACACTGTTGTGTGAATATAGTTCTGTTGCTTCCAGAAAGCCAGCACTGGTGAAATCCATCTGTGCTGTACCCACCTGGGCTATGCTCAAGGCTTGGGGTCTAGAATGCTGGTGTTGGGCTGGCACATTTTTGTGTTGCTGTAAGAGCTAACTGTGCATCCTGGAAATGAGCATTTTGG